ACCTTAGTATATTAATAGGCTCAGACTCATTTTCTGAGTCGATTTAGCTATGTCCGTCCGTCTGTCCGTCCGTCTGTCCGTCCGTCCATGTAAACCTTGTAATCAAACTACAGGTCGCAATTTTGAAGATAATTCAATGAAATTTGGTACATGATCTTCTATTGTCGCAGGGACGAAGCCTATTGAAAATGGTTAAAATCGGTCCATTATTTCACCTAGCCCCCATAGAACTGAACCAGAGATACAAGCCGATGGGGAATGATCGGCAGCGGCGGCGCAACCATTTTGGATCGGCGGCGGCGGCTTATTACGGAAAATATCGGCGGCGGCTAAATTGTCGGCTCAATTTCACTTTTTTTTAGTGAAATTGTATAATAGTCTGTTACATAGAAACCTGTCTCTATATAAGTTTTTTTCTGCAAAAAATGGACATTTATAGTAGTTTTCACTATTTTAATATTAGCACAATATTGTGTGGCAACTCTTTTCAATTTGCCATAAGAATTTAAAATAGTGGCAACTCCGTTCAATCTGTTGAAATTATGTTCTGAAATACATGTGTGTTTCTAATCTTTATCAGCGGCTACGTTTAAGCCGGCTTAGCTTTTGAGCCGAAAGAAGTCGGCGGCGGCGCGGCTTGCAAAATATTACCGGCGGCCAGTCGCCGCCGATTTGAGCCGTCTCGGCTTGTATCTCTGAACTGAACCCCCCAATAGGGCTTGTAATCAAACTACAGGTCGCAATTTTGGAGATAATTCAATGAAATTTGGCACATGATCATTTATGGTATTGTAGACGAAGCCTATTGAAAATGGTTAACATCGGTCTATTATTTTACCTAGCCCCCATACAACTGAACCCCCCAAATAGGGCTTTTAAACCTTGTAATCAAACTATAGGTCGCAATTTTGGAGATAATTCAATGAAATTTGGCACATGATTTTTTATGGTACCGTAGACGAAGTCTGTTGAAAATGGTTTACATCGGTCCATTATTTCACCTAGCCCCCATACAACTGATCCGGACTAATAGGGCTTTTAAGTTCATAATTATGTTTAATATACTAATATCTCGACAAAAAGCTGCAAAAACCAAGTTATATACAAGACTTGATGACCCTCACGAATTCCATAATAATAGGTTCTCATATGACCCTAGCCCCTATGAAAAGCCCCCATCAAATTTTCACTTAAATGTCCATAATTTTATTCAACAATAAACGGCTTAAGTATGTATATCTAAGGCAAGGTACAATTCAACTTAAATGCTTTATTATGGCAACTAAATCACATTATATTTTTGTCAAAGGGTAGGGTATTATATGGTCGGCCTCGCCCGACTATAATTTCTTACTTGTTTTTTCCTTCCTTTCTATATATTAAAAATCTTACTAAAAGCTCACAAAATTCAAATTTAACTACTAAATAGAAAAGAAACAAAGTTAATATATAAGCCAATTGTAAAAAGTATTAACATATTAAACAAAATAAACTAAATTTAAATCTTTTGTAGTTTCTGAGAAAACGACTTAAGAATTAGGAAAAAACCCGTAATTTTTTTGAGGTAGTCTGAAATTTTTACTCATAACTTTTAACGTTGTGGACCGATTTTGCTGATTTTTAATAACAAACTGCTTAGAATAACAATGAATATTTTTGGTGAATTTGGTTTATTTCTCTTGCTTAGTTTTAATGTGTTTTAGGCAGACAGACAGACGGACATAACTAAATCGACTCAGAATTTGATACGGACCCGGAATATATATGCAGTGGTGGAAAAAATAATAGAAACGACTTTATTTTGGGGTGAAAACTAAATTTTCTCAAAAGGTACCCGTTACAATTTGATGATTTGCATCTTAAATAAAAGGTATTTAGGTCTACTTTCCTATGATAAATGGAGTTTGTAAGTTTTTTTGCTCCATCGTTTTTTATTGCTATTTAAAAAATTTGGCATTGGAAAAAACAATAGAAACGATTCACAGTATTACACTGGGGACATAAGCTGAGATTTCTTAATCTACGTTTAGTACTTATTTTAAAAAATGTTAATTATAAATGAAATTCTTAATATAAAAGTATACTTTTTACTTTAATTTTTATGTTAACATTTGATTTTTCGAAGCTTGATTGACCATATGGATCCTGAAAGATGAATCAGAGGCCCGACTTTCAAGTTTTCTTAAATAAGAATTTCAGATAGTGAAAGAAATGTCTTCTAATTTCTTTCACTGTTTTAACTTTTTATTAAAGAAAATTTGAAAGTCGTGGCTCCAATTCAGCCGTCAGAGCTCATATGGTCACACGTTAACATAAAGAACCGAGGAAACAGTATATTTTGATATTGGGAATATCATTTACAATTCAAATTTTTAAAATTATTTTTTCCAATGCCAAATTTTTTAAATACCAATAAAATACGATGGAGCTAAAAAACTTACAAACTCCATTTATCATAGGAAAGTAGACCTAAATACCTTTTATTTAAGATACAAATCATCAAATTGTAACGGGTACTTTTTGAGAAAATTTAGTTTTCACCACTATATAAAGTCGTTTCTATTATTTTTTCCACCACTGTATATACTTTGTTGGGTCTCAGATGAATATTTCTTGGTGTTACACACAGAATGACAAACTTATATACACTGGTGGCCAAAACTAAAGCAACTGACATTACACTTTGATGTTTTAGAAAATATATTCTGCTAAAAAGGTTAAAACGGGATGTTTTTTGGTTTTTATATTTAGACTTTATTCATATTAAATGTAAATGCAAAAAAAAAATTAAAATCCATTTGCTTAAAAGATTTTTTTTTGAAAATAACGAAATAACCATAAATTCTATATAATTAATAGTCAATAGCGTAACCCTTATTTTTAATCACGGCAGCACATCTACGGGGCATTGAATCAATTAGCCTCTCAATTTGATCTTTAGAAATGGTGTTCCATGCGTTCTGGATACGATTAAAAATGGTGTGTTTATTTGTCCCTGAATCTCTTTTTATTTTACGGTCAACGATGCTCCAAAGGTTTTCAATGGGGTTAAGGGCTGGCGATTGAGCTGGCCACCCGAGAACATTTACCTTTGATTGACTCAACCATTCCTTAACAAATTTCGAAGCATGTTTTGGGTCATTGTCATGTTGGAAAACCCAAATCAGTGGCATGTTTTCCTCTGCATATGGCAGCATTACGTTTTCCAACAAATTTTTATAAACAAATCGATCCATTTTCTCAGTAATTTGGTAAATTGGCCCAACTCCATCGTATGAAAAACAGCCCCATACCATTATTGAGCCTCCACCATGTTTAACCGTTCCTTTACAATATTGCGGTTTAAGACGTTCATTTTTTGGTCTCCTTACGGTAAAGTTCTTCATGTCTGAGCCTTTTATGTTGAATTTGGATTCATCTGAGAACAATATGTTTCTCCACTGAGCAGGACTCCAACCAATATGGGCCTTTGCAAAAGCTAACCTGGCTCTGCGATTTTTTTGAGAAATAAATGGCTTCTTTGATGGTTTCCGAGCTCTTAAACCTGCTTTTACAGCTCTTCTTCTTACAGTTCTTGAGCTCACTTCCAAAGATAATTCTCTCACTAACTCAGTTGATGTGACAAAAGGCTTCTTTTTTATTTCACGGATTATTTTTTTATCTGTACGATGTGAAGTTTTCCTCGGTCTACCTCCAGAATGTACTGTCACTACTGATCCGGTTGATCGAAATCGACATATTATTCGAGAAATCACTGATTTACATATTGAAAACTTTTCGGAAATTTCTTTTTGGGACAAACCATTTTGAAAGTCACTTATAATTTGCTCTTTAAGAAAAGTAGAGTACTTGTTCCTAGCCATTTTCCATAATTTATAATAAAATTACTCTAAATCGAAAATTTTTCACGTGGTGTTGTAAGTAAACTTTAAAAAAATGTTTTTTGAAATGTAAAATAAGACCATAAAACAAAACATGAAAAATATAACGGTAAAAACAATAATAGTTTTTGTAAACATTAATGTTATAATAAAGTTGCTTTAGTTTTGACCATATAAAATATGCTTTAATTTGAGAAAAGTGAAAAAAATTCCACGAAGTTAATTGAAAATCAATATTTTTTTTGGAATATGTAGATTGTAATAATATCTATCACACTATGAAGAAAAAATACTGATTTACTCAAAAAATCAAATGTTTTATTGCAATAAGTGATTGATTGATTGATTTCGGTTGCTTTAGTTTTGGCCACCAGTGTATATATACCCTCTATCACCACTAATGGTAGTTTCTAATAGCTTAATAAATATACTAATGAAAATCGAACAACAATTGTTTTAAAATTTCGCAAGATTTGCCATTAAAGTGTCCGTATTTGACTTGGAACTGTATATCTCTAATGCATATTTTCAACAATAGTACTTTTTATGAGCTGTAAACATTTCAAATGTGTTCTCATAATCCCCTGGACATGAATTCAGTAATTTTTTGCCCATAAATATTTTTATATTTTTTCGAATTCCGATAAAATTAGAGTTATATTTATTGCGAGATAGTTCTCTTATGATTAAACGAAGATTAGCGGTTTTAAGTCAACCCATTTCTGTTTAAATTTGTAAGATATGATAATTTGTAATCGTTTTGTTTGAACATCGCACAATATTTCTTAATTCGATTATGTTTTATTTTAAATCTAATGCTATATCTCTAAAAAGCCAAATTTATATACAAATATCATTTTGATTTGAAATAAAATATTATTCTCTACTCTGTCTAAAATAAGTTTAATGGTGATATTATTGGACTTCTTACGCTTTTGTACGTATTTTTAAAATTCACTTATTAATTTTGCAAAAAAAAAAAAAACGATTTTCTAAAAGAATACACTTATAGTAACAAAATACAAAGAAATATCTTGACGTATAATAATGTAATCGAACTGCGAAGTGGTGCAATTATTTGGCGGTAACTGTATGTATAAAATATATTTTTTTACTTACATGATGGCTTCGGCGTTGAATTTATTAAGTGTCTGTGTCTATCGCGGTCATGATTGTGATGACGATTTGGATTAGGATATGTCGGATTACTATTACTTTTTAAAATATCTGCATTTGGTGCTGAAGTTGGCAAAGCGTGATCTCTTTCCAAATCTAATTCGTAATTACGATGATGTATATTTAACTGAGATTGATGGGATTTTTCTTGATATCTACAAATGTTTTTTAAAAATAACATATTTTTGACTTTTTGTTAAACGTTACATAAACTTAAATAAAACAACAAAAAATACCTTAACGTAGTGAGTAGAGGTGTAGCTATTGTTGTTAAACTTGGCACATAACTGTTTTCGGGAATGCTACGTTTGGTTGTTGAAGTAGTGCCGTACGCAACTTTTATTAACACTGCAGCCAAACTTCGCTCCAGGTTATCCAATTTATCCAGATAAGCACCACCAGAAGTCACACCCTCTGTAGATGATGTTATAATAAGACTTTTGCTACCGGAAAGATATGTCTCCCCTCTCTCTCCTCCGTCATGCTCCAAATTAAAAGAACTTTTTGTTAATCTTTTGCTAATACTGTTATTACTACTGTTACTTGCACTGTTATTGGTATTGTTATATACTAGTATATCGCTAACATTTTCGAAGTTGGTGGAACCCAAATCTAAACCAATAGCTGTTGAAGATTTCGACACCAGCAAACCTTGAATGGAATCAGTATACTGTGTTAATGTTAATAGTATAACAAATAAGACATGTAGAAATTTGCATTTTCGCTGTTGAAGGTATGAACATGACAGCATTAGCATGACAAAATTAAGTATTGCGCTATAGCTCCTTGTACGATGTTTGTGATGACGCCATCGCTTTTGCATTTTGTCAAATAAAAACTGCTTTCCCTTATTATCATCAGCCTCAAACTCTAAATATTTTTTTGTGTTTTCTGTATTATCATGTTCTAAACGATACTTTGTGTTGGACGAATTATAGTTAGAATTCGATAAGGATTCCTTTTCAGATATAATTGACCGAATATTTGAATTGCGTAATCTAAAATTGTAATTTTTCCAATATTGTTGTTGTTTTTCATTGCGGTGTGTTATCGATATCCTTGATGTAAGTGGTCGTTGATAACCTAATATGCAGGAGGATGAATTGTTGCTTATATTTTTTGCATAATCTCTTTGCATTAAGTGACGTTTTCGTTTTTGCATGTTTGTTTTTTTTCGCCATCTTATACCTAATCTTTTAGTATTAATTGGAAACATAATTGTATCCGTGTCGTCCTCGTCCTCCAAATCCTCTGGCAGCTCTTCATCATGTTGATTCTGAATAAAACATGTACTTTTGATATTGTTTTCATACTTTAGGAAACATTCATAAATAGGAGAATTAAGAGTAGTTGCTCTGTCTGCCTTCCCAAATAAGGTAGTTATTTTATATTCACACTCAATAACTGCATTACTATTAAAGTTATATACTACATTCACAGTATTTGAGTTCATGGCTGTTAAATTTTTATGGATATACGGATATGAAAAATCCCCTTAAATGAAATGATGTTTCCAAATTAAAATGTTTTAAAATTTTCATCATAGTTTATCTACATCTTCTCCTTGAAACAGCTTAAAATAATCTAAATATAGAGAAGAAAGAAATTTAAGTAATTTCAGTTGATTGAATTAAAATAAATATCTACATATTCATCTTCTTTATAATTAATAGGTAAGGCGATTTCTTCTGAACCCTTTTACTCTTATAGTATACATCCGATCATAAAAAAAAAATTATTTTAAAGGTATTTGTTCACAGATTTTGTGCACATCTAAAACGACCTTATTTTGTGGTGAAAACTAAATTGTCGTAAAACTATCCGTTGGAATTTTATGATTTGTATATTAAATAATATAAAAGGTATAACCGTTAATTAAGTTTCATTATAAATTTTAAGTTTTATTATTTGAATTATATACATATATTCTTATATCTTATGAAAAAAATGTTATCTAAACATAATTTTTTTTAATACAGAGTAATATGTCATTTAATTTGATTTATTATACCCTTCACCTTTGTGAGAAGGGTATACATATATAAGTTTGTCATTCCGTTTGTAATTTCTATAATATAATTTTCCGACCCCATAAAGTATATATATTCTGGATCCTTATAGGTAGCGGAGTTGATTAAGCTATGTCCATCTGACTGTCTGTCTGTCCGTCTGTGTGTTTGTTGAAATCAGTTTTTAGAGGACTCCAGATGTCGGCGAGAACCGAATCTTCAATAATTCTGTTAGACATGCTTTCGAGAAGATCGCAATTTAAAATCAGCAAAATCGGTCCATAAATACCGGAGATATGAGCAAAAATCCGAGACAACCTCTGAAAATTTCATAAAAAAGAAAATTTTTTTCATGCTTTGATATAAGCAACAACAACACTGCTTATTCATTGAGTATTTCTTTTCATATGTTTGGATGGCTGTGTGTTTCATTGCCTTGTGTATATTGTTTTTGTTTCTTGGTGTATTCAGTTTCGCATGTTTGGATGTCTGTTGGTTTCATTGCGTTGTGTATTTTGTTTTTGTTTTTTTGAGAAATTCGTTTCGTATGTTTGAATGGCTGTGTGTTTCATCATGAGTGGTGATAGAGGGTATATATAACTTTGTCATTCCGTGTGTAACACCAAGAAATATTCATCTGAGACCCAGCGAAGTATATATGTTCTTGGTTCTTATGAAATTCTGAGTCGATTCCCAGAAAAAAAGTGAGGAAAAAGAATTTTCACCACAAATAACATGCTTGAAGTATTTCCAATTTTGGTGAAAAACTTATGAATTTTACATTAGCGTGTTATTGGAGGGATGTTGTTAATTTTTGACAACTTTGAACTGCATCTAATCTTATTTTTAGAAGCAGTAAAAATCTGATATTCGGATGTCAAAAATAAACCACATTCTTTCAATGACACGTTTAAGTAAATTTCATTGGTTTTTTACCAAAATTTGATGTACTTCGAATATGTTATTTGTAGTGACTTTTCTACATCTCTTTCCTCACTTTTAAGTGGGTTTTCATTTGTAAGGAAATATTTGAATTATAAAAGCGAAAAATATGCAATCGCTTTTTGAGATGTGATAAAGATGTCGTTTGTAAAATATGACATCAATTATTTTTTGCTGGGTTTAGCTATGTCCGTCTGCCCGTCCGTCCGTCTGCCTGTGTAAAACACGCTCATGTAAAAACGAAGTGAAATAAATTATTAGAATATTCCCTATTGTCCTAGGCAGTTTGGTATTGAAAATGAGCAAAATCGGTTCACATCGGGAAAAGCTATGAAATAAAATGTAAAACAACTCAGAAAAAAATAAGCATTTTTTACAGATTCTGATGCAATTTTCACGAAAACTATGCAATATAATTACATGAAAATCATCACAAATTTGTTTTTACACTTGTTGAAAATTGCCGGAATCAATCCATAATTTCTTATACCTCCCATACAAAAGTACATATTTCCGGAAAATGATCGGTCCATAATTGATCATAGCTCCCATTCCGATCGGTCCATAATTGGTCATAGTTCCCATACAAGGTCCCCTCCGAAAATCGCTTAAACGCACATAACTCATTACTAAATTAAGATATCCATATAAAATTTGCTACAAGTATTGCTCTTATATACAGAAATATTAGCGTGAAATTTCTTTCCGATCGGTCCATAATTGGTCATAGCTCCCATACAAGGTCCTCTTACGAAAATCTCTTAAACGCACATAACTCATTACTTAATTAAGATATCCAAATAAAATTTGGCAGCAGTATTAAGCTTATATACAGAAATGTTACTGTGAAATTTTTTTCCGATCGGTCCATAATTGGTCATAGCTCCCATACCAGGTCCCCTCCCGAAAATCGCTTAAACGCACATAACTCATTACTAAATTAAGATATCTATATAAAATTTGCTACAAGTATTGCTCTTATATACAGAAATATTAGCGTGAATTTTTTTTCCGATCGGTCCATAATTGGTCATAGCTCCCATACAAGGTCCCCTCCCGAAAATCGCTTAAACGCACATAACTCATTACTAAATTAAAATTTGGTACAAGTATTGTCCTTAATTGGTCATAGCTCCCATAGAAGATCCTCTTACGAAAAACTCTTACACCCACATTACTCATTACCAAATAAAGCTATTGATACAAAATTTTGCACAAATATTAGTTAAGATTTGTTCACGATCGGTTCATAATATGGTTGCGATCGGTCCCATACAATGTTCCCTTCCCAAAATCTTTTAAACACATATTACTTATTACTAAATTACGATATAGATACAACATTTGACTGAAATATAGCTACTATATACAGAAATGTTACTTAAATATTTTTTACGATCATATCCCCATACTAGGTCCTGACCCGAAAATTTGAATTTCCTTAAATCTTTCATATCTTAAGGAGCTTTAAAAATATAAAAGAAAATGGCGTTTGTAATGTTCAATAAATCTTGCAATTGTAACAGATTTAAGCTGTTTAAATTTTAGGGTTTTTCCATTTAAGACATGAGAAATCTTATTTCTACAAATATTTGATCAATTAAAAAAGTATTAATATAAAAGTGGTTGGTGGAGGGTATTTAAGTTTCGTCTCTGCCGAATATAGCACTCCTACTTGTTTAATATGCGGTCGTTAGTTTTTAAAAATATATATAAAATATTTTTTAATTAGTAGTGTGAAAAATAATTATGAATTTAATTAATAGTTAATTAATTCATAAATATTTATAAAATTTATAGACGGCTAATGATTTTCTGAAGGAAGTCTATTGGAATTTAGGTTTATATTGATCTTTTTTTATTATTATTTTTTTTTTATTTATTATTCTGCGACTAGTCTAATTTGACTAACGAGCAGATTTTTTCGATTAAATACAATGATTAGTAGTAAGAATAAGATATAACACTAAATAAAAATATCAAAAATACTGTTTTATTTAAACCAGATGATGTGGTTTAATGCGTTGGAGTCTATTTGGTTGGCTTCGGATGAAGTAAAGTCTGCTGGCGTCTCTGACAAACTCTACGCCTAAATCGGTGAAGGTCATGATTTTCGAACGTACCATGGCGCATTGACCATGTGTCTTAAAACTTTATTTTGAAAAACTTCAACGTGTTTAATTGTTGAATTTTTGGCACATCCCCAAAGCTGGCATCCATACGTCCAAACTGGTTTCAGGATTTGTTGGTAGACAAGTATTTTATTTTGTATTGACATGGAAGAAGTTTTACCTATGAGCCATTTCAGGCTTCTGTACTTAATTTCAAGTTCCTTCTTTTTCTTTAGTATATGGTCAAGCCAAGTAAGTTTAGAATCTAGCGTAAGACCGAGGTATTTTGCGGTTTTTGATAATGGAATTGTGTATTCTTGCATTTTGAGAGGAACATAATTTGTATTTTTTTTAGTGAAAAGTTTACATGTATAGATTTTGAATTGTTGATTTTTATTCTCCAAAGCCCAAAAGAAATATTATTAACCCTTTCAGGGTCGAAAATAATTTATGTCTAGAAAAAAACTTGAAAACTTATATTTAAGATAATTTGAGTATGCTGAATCCGGGAAAAATAATATTTTTTGAATTTGAGTTTTCCCTAGTGAGTTATAAAAGGTCAAATTTAAATGTCGAATATATTAGACATTCGAAAAACAGTCTCCAAAAAGTACCAGCAACATTTTTTATGAATTTTTTTTTTTTGTAAAATGTCTTCTTAAACTTCTTTCAATACAATACAATTTAAATCTGCATAGTCCGATCTCCTAAAATACAATTTTTATACCCTACACCACTTTAGTGGGGAGGGTATATTGGATTTGTGCTGATGTTTGTAACATATAAAAATATTCGTCCTAGACCCACCTTAAAGTATACCAATCGGCTTAGAATATTTTTCTGAGTCGATTAAGCTATGTCCGTCCGTCCGTCCGTCTGGCTGGCTGGCTGGCTGTCCATGTAAACCTTGTGCGCAAGCTACAGGTCGCAATTTTCAAGATAATTGGATGAAATTTGGCACGCACGTTTTATTTGACCCAAGGACGAAGCCTATTGAAAATGGTTGAAATCGGTCCATTATTTCACCTAGCCCCCATAGAACAGAACCCCCCGAAAAGGGCTTTTGAGCTCATAATTTTGTTAAATTTACAGATATATCGATAAAATTCGGCCCAACTAAGTTTTATAGAAGTCTGGATGACCCTGCCAAATTTCATAAAGATCGGGCCCCATTTGATCCTAGCTCCCATACAAAGTCCACTTCAGAAAATTACTTGAATGTCCCAAATTAACTTATAAACACAAATATCGCGATGAAATTTAGCACAATAAAATATTATGTAAATATAAATATATTCACAAAATTTTATCGGGCTTGGTCCATATTTGCCCCTAGCCCCATATAAAGCCTCTTTCAGAAAATTAGATTTTCATCCATAAATTGCTTAAATGTATCGGAACAAGGGAATATTGAAGATAAATGCTTTATTATGAAAAATAAATCACATTTAATATTCATAACTGGTGTAGGGTATCATATGGTCGGCCACGCCCGACTATACTTTCTTACTTGTTTTTACCA